GAGAACTGGGCAGGACACAGGGTTTATATAGGGTTTCTGGGGAGGGGGGCAGAGCTTTCCAGGGTGATCTGTAGAAGAGAGACTGTGACCTGGCACAATCTCAGGGATTGGTGAGATTTTTCTTTAGGGCAGTGACTGGCCACTTTCCTGCTTTGAGGGGCTGGGAACAGCCCTTACTGCCAAAGTCTAGAGATGGGGTGGGAGTTGGGGGTGCTGGGCCTGGCCATTGGAGCTCCTCAGGGATGGGTTCTGGCCCCGCACTTGCCTCAAGGGGTCATGTCTGGCCACTAGAGTGGTCCAGGGCTGGATCCTGGTAGCCAGAGGTCTCCAGGGCAGGGCATACAATAGGAGTCTCTGCCACTCAAGTTGTCTTGAATAGCCAACACACATGCTTGTATAATTGACAAGGACAGAGATATTCATTTAATTCATATAAATAAAATAAAATTAGTATAATTTAAATTCTTCTAAGCTTTGTATTTAGGTCAGCCAAATGCAAATTAAATTTTATTTTATGTATGAAATAGCAGATATAGGATTATAGCTATGACTAGGAATTGTTCAAAATGATGGCTCAGTGGGCAAATGTCCTTATGTTATTAGTTGTGTTATGTTATGAGTACTTGAGTTTGAGTTTAGGACGCACAGGTGGAAGGAGAGAAGCAGCTCCTATAGGTTGTCCTCTGACATACCCATGTTCACTGTGGCATGGGTGTGAGCATTTACCACATAGATACATACTATGCAAATAAAGTCTTTTGTATTATTTTATAATATTAAAATAACAAAATTAGTAAATGCTCAAATTTACCATTATAAGATAAAACTATTTTCATTTAACAGTAGCAATTTTCTAAGAAAAGTATAAAAATTTGTATCTCAAGTACTTGTAAACATGTGGTTTTTGATTTTTTTTTTGAGACATGATCTCACCAGGTATCCCTAGCTAGCCTTACTATGTACACCAGACTAGCCTCATACAACCTGCCTCTGCTTCCAGAGTATTGGAACTAAAAGTGTGTACCACCACACCCAGCTGACTTTTGATCTGGTATAATGGAGCAGTGATTCCTAGCTTACTAAAGCTTATTTAAGTAAAATCCAAGTTGATAAAATAAAGCACTTATAAAACAAAGAAAACAATGACCATATTCTCTCAGCTTCCCTGTCCCTGAGCACCTGCGTGTGTAGAGCAACAGACTGCCCCAAACACCTTTCCATTGTTCTTCCTGCCTCAGCCTCTGTGAATGCCGGAACTTACTCTGTAGACCAGGCTGGCCTCAGACTCACAGAGATCCAGCGGCCTCTGTCTCCCAAGTGCTGGGATTAAAGGTGTGTGTGGTACCACCACCCCGCTAAATCAAATCATATTTCTTTTTTTTTTTTTTTTTTAAAGGATTTATTTATTCATTTAATTTATGGGTACACTTTTGATGTCTTCAGACACACCAGAAGAGGGCATCCGATCCCATTACAGATGGTTGTAAGCCACCATGTGGTTGCTGGGAATTGAACTCAGAACCTCTGGAAGAGCAGTCAGTGCTCTTAACCGCTGAGCCATCTCTCCAGCCCTCAAATCATATTTCTTAAAATTAGTAAACTTACATGTACCATTAATACTTGGCAATGCAAACTTTATTAATATAAAAAACTTATTGTTATAGCTTTCCTTGAAACAAGCTATTTGGTAATTCTCTTTTCAGTTACAACGTTTTGAATTTTTAAATTTACTTTTATGTGTATGGATGTTTTCCCTGCCTGTATGTGTGTGCAACACGTGAGTGCCTGGTGCCTGCAGAGACCAGAAGAGAGCACTGGCTATTCTGGAACTGGAGTTACAGATGGTTGTAAAACACCATGTGGGTGATGGGAATTGAACCCAGATCCTCTGGAAATACAGCCAGTGCTCTTATCCACTGAGCCAATTCTCCAGCCATAATTAGAAAGTTTTATTCAAGCTTTCCATTAGTATGTTTCTCAAAAACAATCAGTAAGATGTACGCATATATGGAATTTAAATGTTTATGAATGTGGTAAGATGATCAACAGCTCAGCTGGAATGTGATCATTTTAAAGTTTGGGTGTATTTGACTGATTTTTATTCTATGTATATGGGTATTTTTGCCTGAACGTGTGTCTGTGCACCACATGTGTGCTGTGCCTACAGAAGCCAGGAGAGGGGATCAGATCCTCTGGAACTAGAGTTACAGACGATTGTTAGCTGCCATGTGAGTGCTGAGAATGGAACTCAAATCTTCTGCAAGAGCAGGTCTGCTCTTATGGCTGAGCATCTCTCCAGTCCCCTGGCTGTATTTAAATGTGGCAAGTTATTGCAAGGTTGAAGACAGTTGCTAGGAATCTTCATTAAAGTTTCATTGCTTTTCTTTCAGAAAGATGCTCTTGTTTCTTGTTTGTTTTTCTAGGATACTTTTATTTCTTTTTTTTCTTTTTTCTTTTCTTTTCTTTTCTTTTTTTTTTTTTTTTTTTTTTTGGTTTTTCGAGACAGGGTTTCTCTGTATAGCCTTGACTGTCCTGGAACTCACTTTGTAGACCAGGCTGGCCTCGAACTCAGAAATCTGCCTGCCTCTGCCTCCCAAGTGCTGGAATTAAAGGCGTGTGCCACCACCACCTGGCGATTCTTTTATTTCTTAAGGCATATTTTTAATATTTATTTTTTCTTTGGCACTCACTGAAAAGAGCACTAGAACTTTTGAGATGCTAGTATCTCCAAGATTTAAGGTCTAGGACTTTAAGATCTAAGTTTGTTGCAGTCTGTGTTATTGCTCAACATATTTGGATTAAGAAGCTAAGCAGTTTTATGTTAGCCCTATGTAAAGGAAAGCTTTGAAGACGCTGGTGAGTTAAATTTCATGATACATGTGTTTTGGATGAATTCTGTAAGGATTGATAGCTCCCTCTAGTGATTGAAAATAAAGTAAAAACATACTAAGTAAGTGATTATACTTGTAATAGTAGTTAACTGTCTCATTACTTTGTACTATTCCTTGGAGAACTAAATATTTATGAAGATTGTTAGCTGTTTGTCTGGAGTAAATTCACTTAAATATTTTCTAGTCAAAAATGTTTGTTAAAGCTAGTAAAATATAACAAGTCCATGAAATTAAATTTACCATCTACATCTGTGTTTAATATTGGTCTTCTATTATTCTTTTGTTTTTCAGAAAATAATCGGAATAGTTATTGGGAAAACAGATGTCAAAGGCTTTCCAGACAGAAAAAGCTGAGTTCTATTTAACTCTTTCTTAATTTTTCATTAAGTATGGCTTATTACTGCAAAAAATACATTTAACTGACTAAAATTTCTAGTGTGTTTAATACCTTAAGAGCAATGGCCAGGCCTTCTATATGTATGATCATACTCAATTCAAGAGTGTATATATGAAGACATAATATTTTCAGTGATTTAATGTGATATTCTACATCACAATATTCTCCAACTATATTTTAAATCAGATATAATAGTGTCTAAGAGTATGAGAGTATGAACTTGGAACTAGTTTACTGCCCTTAATCACTAAGTGATCTAACCCTTCCTCTGTGTGTGTGTGTGTGTGTGTCTTTGTTGTTTGAGACATGGTTTCTCTGTGTAGCCCTGGCTGTCCTGGAACTAGCTCTGTAGACCAGGCTGGCCTCAAATTCAGAGATCCACCTGCCTTTGTGTCCCCAGTGCTGGGATTAAAGGTGTACACAAACACTGCCTGGCTTCTAAGATCTTTCTTACATACACATAAGAAGAGGGAATCTAGCTGATGTAAGAGTTAGATAATTCCCACCCACCCCCTCTCTCTGTTTCTCTTTCCTGAGACACGGTCTTTCTATGTAGCCCTGGGTGTCCAGGCTAGTCTCAAACTCACAGAAGTCTGCCTGCCTCTGCCTTCCAAGTACTAGATTAAAGGTGTGCACCACTATGCACAGCCAGTTCAGATGCTTCTAATGAGACTGGGTACAATGGACCTGTGGTCAGCTTCACACGAGTAGAGGACGGCAGAAGGGACAGGACTGAGAGGACAATAGCAACATGGAGTAACAACAACAGGAACAACAACAAAAAATTGGTCTTGGTGGTAAATGTAATCTCAGCACTTGAAAGGCAGCAGCAGATTTAGGTTTTATTTTAAAATTTTTATTTATTTTATGTATATGAGGGTTTGTCTGTGTGTACCTGGTGCCTGCAGAGACCAGAAGAGGGTGTCAGGATCCTTGGGACTGGAGTTATAGTTACAGATGGTTGTGAGTCAGCATGTGGGTGCTGAGAATTGAACCCAGGGTGTCGGATCTCCTGGAGACAGAATTACAGGTGCTTGTGAGCTTCTCACTGTGGATGCTGAGGACTGAGCTTCTAACTGCTGAGCCCTCTCTGCAGTCCCTCTCTGCAGTACTTTTTAAATTAACAAAAGTAACAGAAAAATCCCATTCTGGAAAAAAGTGTACTTGCTGACCTCTAGTGGCCCTCTAGTTACATACATGTTGTTTTGAGACAACTGTTTAGGTATGAATTATGACTTTGGTGAAAGCATTTCTCAATCTTGTTGGGCCTCACCTATGAAATAATTAATAGTCAATTAGGTTTTTGTGAATATAATAATTGACAAACAGGAAGTCTAAGCTAACAGCTGGAGTTTTCGGAGCTGAATGTCCCTTTCTTTTGAATACACAGCTATGGGGAGGAAAAGGGCCGTAGTGAGATCCAGCTACCATGGCTGTCTGTTACACTGTACTTGGAAACGCGTGGAAGCACAGTGCAGCATAGAATGTGCATTAGGGAGTGGTTTCATTGCTAGCAATCAAGAGGATCATCAAAAGTCCAAGACTAACCTGCTCTATCCTGTCTCACAAACAAAGCAAAACTAAAGAAGACAGAGTATACACAGGAAGTTTCTATCATGTGTTTAAATATTTTATTACTATAATGATAATAACTAAAAAAATAAAAAAAGGATAATGATAATAACTGATCATTTTGTTAAGTAATAATTTGTTCAAAGTCATATTCATCTGGAATATAAAAGCTTTGGTTTTCCTCAGATATTGGATCAGAAAGATACACTTTCAGTTTCACCATTCGTGACTCACCAAATCACTTTGTGAATGTATCCTCCTGGGGCAGTGAAGACTACATCCGCTCGCTGTCTGACAACTTCAAGGTTGGTGAGTGTGGTAAGTAGGCATGATTTTATTGTTTGTTTGATTTCTTAAATCCCAGCACTTGGGAAACAGAGGTAGGTGAGTCTCTATGAGCTTGAGGCCAGCCTAATCCACAAATCAAGTTTCAAGCCAGCCACTGTTATGTATATAGTGAGACTCTGTCCCAAAACAAACAAAAACAAAACAGTGGAGGGGTAGGGGAGGAGAAACAGAGACAACAATAGAGACAGAGACAGAGACAGACAGAGACAGAATGAGACTTGCTAGGTAACTTCCTTTGAACAAGTGGTAGTTCTCTTGCCTCAGCCTCCCAAGTGCTGAGATCACAGGCCTGTCCTCCCATACCCAGCAGCACTTAAAAAATATTCGTTTTACAGTATTGTTCTTGTAATAAGTTTGTGGCTGAGTAAAGTCATAACAAAGTAGAATGCAGTTATTCTGATGCTAATCAGAGAAAGCCGGTGTTCAAGGAATAATACACGGCATGCTGGTTCATAAGTGACACTCTTACTAGACATTTTGCCATCTTTTGTTTATTGCATGTTCCAGCTGGCCTAAGCCCCATCATTGTTACTATAGTCCTGTATCTTTCTACAGACATATATTAGGGTTAGTAATTGTTTACACTGTGACTTTAAGAACAAGGTCTTGTTGGTTCTCACCCATGAAATAAGACCCATTAGTGTTTTTTTGTGAGTGTTAAGGAAAGAGTACTATTATAAAGTATACAACTTCACCACTTAATAGATGGCAACTGCAGCTTAGACAAGAAATAAGAGAGCATGTGTTCCAGTTCTCCTTTATGACAGAAAAGAGGAGGGAAAAGGGAACAGGGAGTCAGGCTACTCTTCCCCAACGTTGTAGTACCAAACATACAGAGCACATGTCAGATAACAGTACTCAACAATATGCACTCAACCACTGTACCATGTATGTTCCAGGGATGTGAATTGAATAATGTTGTCAAAAATGTGAACTATGAAGACAAGAAACTTTGAAAACTTCATTGGCCTAGTACAGTTATAAATATTCCTTGAATGAATGCTAGAACATCCAGTGTGTAGCGAGAAACTTGAGTATTAAAATGTTATAGGTTGATGACTGTGAGGATAAATAAGTGATTGCTTGGGAAGTTAGATGTGGAGTAAAGGTCAGGTAAACATTTGTTTTATTGGAGGTCATGTTGTAACCAAATCAAATGTTGGATGAAAGGAAATCAATAAAGTGATATTAGTATAGGTCACATGTTAAGACTTAAAACGCAATGCCCTGGAAATGCTATGTGGGGCAGTTGCTGACTGCATTCCAGAATCCCTCTTCTCACAGTGACATGCAACAATGCCTGTGGAGGACAGAACCGACAGAGTGAAGGTCGCCGTTGTGCACACCTAGCTCTGATTAACCTTCTGGTGATTTTGTGATGTTGCCATACTTTATCCTCTGTTTTAGTGATAATTGAAAATCCCTTGATCCAAAGAAAGGAGACAGAAAGAGAAGAAAAGTTTAGCCCTGCAACTCCTAGGTAAATATCTGTCCCCCAGAGAACAAAAATCTTTGTGCTAGAATGATAATATTAATAATTTTGTATCATATTAGCAGAAAACTTTCAGAAGTTGCTTTATTTCAATTTGAAAAGAGTTGAATTCTTTCCTATAATATTTATCTTTTTTTTTCCTTTTTTCTTTTTGGTTTTTCGAGACAGGGTTTCTCTGTGTAAGCCTGGCTGTCCTGGAACTCACTCTGTAGACCAGGCTGGCCTCAATCTCAGAAATCTGCCTGCCTCTGCCTCCCAAGTGCTGGGATAATATTTATCTTTAAGATAGATGGCATAATTTATAATTTTTATAATCATAAAAAGCTAATTTTCTCTTGGTATCTGTGTAGGATCAATCAAAAAGTCTTTCCAGGTTACAAAATCCATGGGTGCTCTAATCCCTTGCACACAGCTTAAACACAGACTCCTCTATATCTGAGATGGTTGTTTCTTATAACACCTAACGGCATGTAAGTGCGGTGTGAGTAGTGAGTAGTTATGCTGGACTTGTATTAGTTACAGTGTTGTTTTTTAAAATATTTGGTACATGATTGGGTTTGTGGATGCAAAATCTTCAGATACGGAGTCTGAATGCTTAGATTTGTAAAACAAGACTCTAGTTAGAATAAAACTAAGCAATTAGAGGGACTGGAGAGATGGTTCACCAAGTAAGAGCACTTGCTGCCTTGCAGAAGACCTGCATCCAGTTCTAGCATTCATTTTAGGCAGCTAGCTCCAGGGAAGCTAATGCCCTCTTCTGGCCTCTGTGGACACCACAGATACAAACGGCATAGACTTCCATAGATGAAAACACCTACACACAAAAATAATCCTTTTAAAAAATCTCTAAACAATAAAAGATAAACACTGGGAATACATATGATATTGTATCCAGCTCTAATCCACTCACATGCTCTTTGTCTTAGGCCAGGTTCCCTGGAGGGAGAACTTGAGGGAAAAATTCTTTACAAGTGGCCTATTGAGGGAGGGCTCTTAGAACCCTGCAAGGATGGGGTTGGGGACAGGCTGCCACTGGAGCTCAGGAGAAAGCTCTGGGTGTGCTCCCCTGGAGCATGACCTTATGGGGAGGGTCGGGTTTTTGTACTCTGAGTTATCTATTGCCTAGAGTCCATCCCTCATCAGTGCTCCCAGATAAATCTGGGGTAGGGAATGGGAGAGGAAGTCTCCCTTCCAAGGCAGTTCTGTCCAGGGGCAATTCTGTGCCAGCTAACTCCATGCTGGTCTCTAAATGGCACTGAGTACGGCAGGCTCTTCTAGCCTCCATACTTGTCTCTCTGCAGCCACTGAGAATTTTCCTTTTCATGAACACCTAGACTCACTCTGCACTAAGACCTTTCTAGTCCCTCTGCACAGAACATTCACCTATCTACTGAAGCTCTGGTTCTTCAGGTTGAGTGTTAACTCATTTGAGCCTTCCAGCCACTCAGCAGGACATTCTCTGTACTCTAAGTGTTGTGATCCAGATCACATTCTGAGATGATTTGATTGTTTTTATAATTCCTGCTCTCGTATATGAGTTTATGAGATTAAGTGTATTTTGTATAGTGTTCTCCCCATGCCTAGATTAGAGGCAGGCACATAACTGACTGGTTTTTAGTAAATATGTACAGGAGGTGAGAGGGACATGTTTGGCAGACCCAACAAATGTGAAACCTCTTGGCATTTTCCAGAATATCTTGAATTATTAACTTTTAGGTTGAGCAACAAGAAAATGCTGACATTTAACAAAATTTCACCCAAAAGAGCAATTTCATAGCCTAATAACCTGGCATAGCTGGAATACAGAGCAGTAAGGAACGGGAGAAGTAGAAGCACTTCTCAGTGATACTCACTTCTCAGGGACTAGTAGGAACAGGAAGTCTTTCAGCTAGAAAATAATATCCTACTCCGTAGCTTAGGAAGACCAAGTTGACTGTAATGTGAAGGCTGAGTCTCAGAGGAGATGAGTCAGGGGACCAGGGCAAGGACTGGAGGCAGTACTGTGAATAACTAAGGCAAAGGAGGAAGGAGGAGCTGGCCTAGAGCTCTGTGAAGGAGGTTTTGTGAGAGGACTGGGTACAGGGAAAGGGGAACATCACTGAGGTCTATTGCACTCTAAAATTCTGAATCTGCTTCACATATCAGCAATACAGAAGTAAGCAAACAGAGTTCTTGACTTCAGGCACTTAGGTAAAGCAATCAGCATCATAAAAGAAATAACAATGGTTAGAAGTAGTGTTAACAATGCCAAGGTTGAGATCTTCATAAAGACCTCAGTGGCTATGGGAACTGGTTGCTCTTTCAGAAGACCTGAGTTCAGTTCCCAAATCTCGCACTGGGGCTCACAGCCATGTACTTCTGGTTCCAGAGGCTCTGATACTCTTCTGAATTCTACTGGTAGAAGGCACACATGTGGCACACAGAAAAGCAGGCAACACCCCCCCACACACACACAATAAATAAATTTTAAAAAAGAAACAATGGGACCTCTGTCTTTTGTAATCTGAAGTTTTAAAAAGTATTTTTATAACCAGTTTGCCAGAAAAGGAAACTACAGCTTCAGGTCTTGGGCAAGAACCTACAACCAATATGATTAGAACTCACAGAAAAAATTCTCAGTACATGTTCTTAATTAAAAGAACATTATTTTAATGAAGAAATATTTAAAAATTGATATAAAGTGCATTATAGAGAAAAATATTTTATAGCGTTATTTGATGCTTTTAAGAGTAAAAATATAGGGGCTGAAAAGATGGCTCAGCTCTTCTTGAGGCCCCAGGTTCAATGCCCAGCACCCACATGGTGGCTCACAACCATCTGTAATTCTAGCCCCAAGGCATCTGATGCTTTTTTTTGGACTCTACAGGCACTATATTCATATAGTACACAGGCATAGGTTTAGGCAAAAACCTTCATACACATAAAATGAATACCATACAAAATTTTAATATTACAAGTATAACCTTCTTAATATAATCTAAATTACAAGAAAAGTAATTGAATATGATTTTTGTTTTGTTTTTTAAAAATGGTCTGATATTATAACTCAGGGTAGCCTGAAATTCCTTACTTATACATTGGTGGTCTTGAATATGTGTCAGTTCTGCATATGTTTACCAAATGCTGGGGTGATAAGTGTGGGACAACACACCTAGCTCTATAATCCAATATGAACCAAAGTATTTTTTATTAACAACAATGTGTTGACTTTTTGTGTTTTCCTCATTTAGCAACTATAAACTATTACTCAGTGAGAATCACTCAATGGTAAAAGTTTGTTCCCCTTATGAAGTGGATACCAAGTTACTTTCTTTGATACACTTGCCTGTTAAAGAATCTCGAGATTATTACTCATTGGCTGACATTGTTGCAAATGGACACAGTCTTGATGGGAGGATTATTAATGTGCTGGCAGCTGTGAGATCGGTAAGTCAGGAAATCAGTACATTAAAACTAGCAAAGCTCCCTACAGTTTGTCAGGGCACTCTCTGTCACTAGCTGGGCCATTTTTTCTTTTTATCTTGGTAGTAAGTTGAATTAAGAAAATAACATTTCTCATTAAAAGGGAATTAGCATTTTACCTGTGGATCACTAACAAAATAAAATCATTCTTGATTGCTAACTGCAGTAGTCACTTAAAAATGATCCATTATCTGTATAAAAGCTGGGTTAAGCAAAGACAAAGGATAAGCTTATTGGCATGAACAGCCATAATATTCTTTAAACAAGTCAAGGAATAATTTGTGGATGTGTTCACAGAAGGACTCGGAGAGGGAGGAGACGACATCCTGGGCTGCAGTGGAGCTGCTGTGAGAAGCAAGGCAGCACCGTAGGGGTCAGCAGATCACAGCTTCTGTGCATCAGCACTGCCTCAGAAACTGACAGGGTTAATATACAAAGGCACGGCAAAACATTTAAAGGGGGACCTCAAAAGTAGACCTTAAAGGGCTGGAAGTGTGGCTCCATGCATCTCCACTCCCTATCCCCCCAGAGGAAACCTTCACATATATATCATATGCAGAAAATTGTTCTTTCAGATAGAAGATCTGATTCTTTATATGACAATCTTTTTTTTTGTTTTTTTTTGTTTTTGTTTTTGTTTTTGTTTTTTGAGACAGAGTTTCTCTGTGTAGCCCTGGCTGTCCTGGAACTCACTCTGTAGACCAGGCTGGCCTCGAACTCAGAAATCCGCCTGCCTCTGCCTCCCAAGTGCTGGTATTAAAGGCATGCGCCACCACTGCCCAGCATTATATGACAATCTTGAAATACAGGCAAAATCACTTTCAGCCAACCTTTAGTTGTTTCCTCTAAGTCGTTTACTGATCTATCATTTGTGTGTTAGCAGCTCTCCTCACTCCCCACTGCAGGGCACTCTGTGTGTCATATCACTTCTTTTCCTTTTATCTCCTTTTGACTTCTCAATCCCAAAGACAGTATTTTAACTATACTTCCCTTGTTATGGCTGACCACCCCCTTTATTAATCAAGTTATTTATTTACATCCTGGTTGAAGCTTCTTCCTCTTCCTCTCCTTCCAATCCCTCATTCTTCCCTCCCCATCATTCTCCTCCTTTTCCCTTCTCAGAAAAGGGGAGTCCTCCCATGGATATCACCCACCCTTGGCATATAAAGTTTCAGTAAGACCAGGCGCATCTTCTTCTGTTGAGGCTAGACAAGGCAGCCCAGTTAGGGGAAGGGGATCCAATGACAGTGTATGTAGTCAGAGACAGCCCCAGATCCTGCTTTACAAATCCCACATGAAGACCCAGCAGCAAAACTGTTACATAAGAGCAGAGAGCCTAGGTCCATCCCCTGTGTGCTCTCTGTTTGGCACTTATGTTTCTATGAACCTCTATGGGCCCAGGTCAATTGATTCTCTAGGTTTTCTTGTGCTGTCCTTGACCCCTCTGACTCCTTTAATCCTTCCTCCTCCTCTTCCACAGGATCCCCCAAACTCCCATTTAATATTTGGCTGTTGGTCTCTGCATCAGTTTCCATCAGTTGCTGAGTGAAGCCTCTCTGATGACAGTATGCTAAGCTGCTGTCTGCAAGTATTATAGTGTCAGGGGTAGGCTCCCTCTCATGGTATGGGTCTCAAGCTGGGACAGTCATTTGTTGGTCATTCTTTCGAATTCTGCTCCATCATTTACCACTGTATATCTTGTAGGCAGCACAAATTGTGGGTCTAAGGTTTTGTGGTTGGGTTGGTGTCCTAATCCCTCCAATGGAAGGTTTTGCCTGGGTTTAGGAGGTGGCTGATTCAGGCTCCATATCCTCCATTGATTTTACCTAGGGTCATAGATTCTTGGGAGTTTCCATTGTCCAGGTTTCTAGCTTGTCCCAGAGATACCCACACCAATCCAGTTGTCTCTCTCAGTACTCTCTCCCTCCATCTTCCCCCTCCATCATCCTTCCTGTTCCCATTCCCACCCACCCCACCCAGTCCCCTCCTTCCTTACACCCTCATAGACAAATATTCTTATAGATATCACATATCTATATGTAATATATACATTTCTATTACATAGAAATCTAGTCTATTTTCTGTTCTCAGTTAGAGTCAAATATCCCCCCATGGGCCCTCCTTACTTAGGTTCTTTTTTTGGGTCTGTGGTTTTTAGCATGGTTATCCTGTATTTTTGACTAATATACACTTATAAGTGAGTACATACCATGTTTGTCTTTCTGGGTCTGGGTTACCTCACTCAGGATGATCTTTCTTAGTTTCATCCAATTGCCTGCAAATTTCATGACATCATTGTTTTTAATGGCTGAGTAACACTTCGTTGTGTAAATGTACCACATTTTCTTTATCCATACTTCAGTTGAGGGACATCTAGGTTGTTTCCAGTATCTGGCTATTATAAATAAAGCTACTATAAACACAGTTGAGCAAGTGTCCTTGTGGTATAGTGGAACATCATTTGGGTATATGCCCAGGAATGGTATAACTGGATCTTGAGTTAGATCTATTCCAAATTTTCTGAGAAACTGCCAAGTTGATTTCCAAAGTGATTGGATAGTTTGGCTCATCTCTCTTATCCTGTAGCCTTCTTTTGTAGATCTTTGTTCATGGAGCCTTTGTGTGTTTCCTCAGAGTTCAGTAAGTGCAGTAGTGACAGAAGCTGAGAAGAGGCCAGATGACTACGCTTGGGGCCTTTCCTTGAGGCCACCAGAAATGGATACTGTTCTCTCTCTCTCATTCCCTCTCCTTCTCTCTTTCTTTCCTTCTCTTTCTCTCCCCCTCATTATCCCCCCTCTCTCTTTCTGTGTGTGTCTCTTTTCAGGGGGAGGGCATTGAACAGGGTCTCACTGTAGCTCTGGCTGTCCTAGAACTCACTATGTAGATCAGGCTGGCCTTGAAGTCACAGAGATTCACCTGTCGCTGTCTCCTGTGTACTGGGATTAAAGGTGCTTGCCACTACACCCAGCCACTCGTGTTCTTGTGAAAAAGCCCATTGATCAAAAACAAGACCCTTTGAATCCGCCTCTACTTCTCTTAAACTTTTCCTGCATTGTAAGCAGACCTGGACATGAAGTCATAGTGCTTTTCCTGTGTGTTCTTGCATATGGTCCTCACTACCTTAACCCCATGAAGGAGGCAAGGGGAGTGTTACTATTTAGGAGTCTGAGGCCTAAGAAGCTGGAATGCATTTGTTCACCGAAAGCTCATGCCAGGCTGTGTAATAAGCCATGGGAAGACACATCCTTCCACATTTATGTCACAAGGGGTCTGTCCTGGAGCATTTGTCCCTGCACTTATTTTTATTTATTTATTTGATTTTTTGAGACAGGTTCTTCCTGTGTAGCCCTAAATGTCCTGGAATTCACTATGTAGACCAGGCTGACCTCAAACTAAAATATCTGCACCTACTTCTGCCTCTCAAGTGCTGGGTTTGTGTCACTACACCATGCTTTATATTTTAGAGACTAGATCTTGCTATGTAAATTAGGCTGGCCTTGAACTCAACTGCAATCCTGCCTTAGCCTTCCAAATGCTGTGTACCACCACACTTGGCTGTCCTTGTATCTTGACAAATAGTTTTTATTTGTCTCCCCCTTTGAATACATATGTCTTTCAAAAAATCCATAATTTACAAGTTCAGCTAAGTATTCCTAGTTTAGGCAGAAAGTACATTCAGATAATCAGATATTTATCAGTCATTCTTTTCTTGTTTATATTTAGAATTTCATGTTCAAAAAGAAACTATTTGATTATATGTAAGTACCTTCACATTTATAGAATAGGAATAATAATTTCTTTCAATTTCTTAGGTTGGAGAGCCAAAATACTTTACAACTTCAGACCGAAGAAAAGGCCAGAGGTGTGAAGTTAAACTCTTTGATGAAACAGAGCCTTCCTTCACAATGACATGGTAATCTTCCACATCTGTCTTTAACTGTGATGCCCTGCTCTTATTACAGAGACAGAACACTTTGTTTTATCAAAAATATCATATCATGTATAATAATAAGAGATAGACAATACTTAAAAAAAATGAACTCTCTTGAAGGTTGAGATTTTTCTGTACGCAACCTTGGATGGCATAGAATCGCTTAGAGTACTTCATTGTAACAAGCTTTATTATTCTGCCTCATAACAAATAGTGTTTTACTGGAGTCTACTGATGAGGGACAAGTCAAACGTTTTGAAATTCACTGGTCCCTGGAGAATAGGTGTACTCTAAAGTCCTGAAGATTATGGCTCCTGATGTCTGCAAGTGCCATCTACCAATCAAGCCCTCTGAGCCTTGTATCCATTTGAGACACTCAACTGTAATGGTTATAAGCTTTGGCCTTAAAGATTTTAGGCTTTGAATTATTCGAATTATTCAGTTCTAAGTAATCAAGTGCTAGGCAGATAAAAGGACTCAGGGCAGATACTAGAGATTAGTTTATGCTGAAAACAGCTCTCAAATAGGTGTTAAGTATGATGTCTTGGGCCTTGGGGATGGCTTGACCAGTAAAGACACTTCCCATGCAAACCTCACAACCCAAGTGTGTCACCCCAAAACCATAGGGAGAAGAAGATAGAAGAAGAAAACTGACTTCACAAAGCTGTCCTCTGACCTCCATGCATGTGTTGTGGTCTGACTGCATATATGTGAGTGTGTATATCTGTGTGTGTGTGCACGCGCGTGTGCACGCATGCATGTGTACACAGACACACATACATACAAAGTATTAATAAATTAAAAAAATTAAAATATAAAGTCAACCATTTGGTTACCTGGAAATTGCAGGGTTTTTTTTCTGTTTTGAGGGTTCTTTGAGGGCAGGTTTAATATGTCACTGCCAGATTTTTCTAATGTATTCACTTTGTTTCACTTCTTTTTAAACGAATGCAGTTGGGATAATGAATCCATTCTACTTGCACAGAGCTGGATGGCGCGAGAAACAGGTCTTATCATTTATGACTGTGTTAAAAACATTTGTCATTTTCATCTCTCATGTATTAACTTTAAAAATGGTTTTCCCCAAAACAGTAATATTTGCCTCCGATGTGAGAATAAATTTTAACAAATTTCAGAACTGCATGGCAGCAACCGTAATCTCAAAAACCATTATCACAGTGAATCCAGGTAAAATGCTTTCAGTTTCTCATTCTTTTGGAAGTGATCATAAACACATGCCAATATTTGTGCAATGTTTTTAAGAATCAAACTGTGGGTTACATTTTTAAAAAGCCTTTTACTTGATGGTGGCTGAGGAGTGAAGAGGTGAGTCAGAAGATTCACCCCTAGTGATTTCATCTAGCTAGGCCTCACCTAGTAGCCCATTAAGCTATGATCTCATCAATAGCCCTTATGAACTAATAACCTCTCAATAATGTCACCAGCTTGGGGTCAATCCTGCAACAAATGAGGATTTGGGCAATTTTATATCTAAACCATAACACAATATTTACCTTTTTGTGGTGAAAACCCTTAAAAGCTACACTTTTAGTGCTCTTTAGGAATATAGCCCTAAGTCTCAGCAGCGAGGAGAGTGTGCTGCCCAGTTTGGTTCCCAGCATACACATCAGGCAGCACACAACTCCTGCAACTCCCAGGTGGTATGACACCCTCTCTGACCTCTGCAGGCACTTGCACCAATATGCATATACCTCTGCACAGACACACATACATGCATATAATGAAATGTTAGTATTATTTTATTTTTATTATATCCTGGCTACAGTTTCTCTTCCATTGTCTCCTCCCACTCCCTTCTCCAAACTTTCCCTCTGCCCCCACATCCACTTCCTCTCTGTTTCACCCCAGAAAAGGGCAGGCCTCCTGTGGATATCAACCAAACATGGCATAGCAACTTGCAATAAGACTAGGCTCACACACACCTTTTTTGAGACACAGTCTTACTGTGTAGCACTCACTAGCCTGGGACAAAGATCCACTGGCCTCTGCCTCTCAAAAGCTAGGATTAAAGGTGTATAAAAAAAATCCTTTTAAAGAACTGAATGTAGGATACTATCCTATTACATGGTATTATTAGCTATAAACCCTATGCTGTGTACAGAGTTTTTGAATATATTTTGTCAAGGATACAAATTTAGTAGACTATTTATAAAGCTGTTTAAACTTGGCTGCCTGTGGGAGGGAATTCCACTCTCCTTGCTGACAGTGTACGGCGTGGACGCTAAGGTGGCGATGACTGGACTGCTGTGGCCCTTTAGCAAGTGCTCCCTCATTGCCCAGCAGTTCTATTAGGACACCAAAACCATTTGCTCATCTGCCTGTTAATTTACAGATCCTCACAGAATGCTTTATATGCACCAACAATGTGGATAACTTCAGTCTTTCCTAGAACAAGACAGGAGATGGTGAAAGGCCAATGGATATAAGGGCAGACATGATGTTGATATTGCAACACAGGATGAAAAGCCTTTGTTCTGCCGGGCGGTGGTGGCGCACGCCTTTAATCCCAGCACTTGGGAGGCAGAGGCAGGCGGATTTCTGAGTTTGAGAGTTCGAGGCTAGCCTGGTCTACAGAGTCAGTTCCAGGACAGCCAGGGCTACACATAGAAACCCTGTCTTGAAAAACCAACCAAACAAACAAAACAAACAACAACAAAAAGAAAAGCCTTTGTTCTTGAGGAATCCATCCTCAATTTGAGAAAGCACACTGATAGGACACATGTAATGTGAACAGAAGGAGAAAACCTCTCCCTGCCCAAGGAAGGTAGAAGAGTCTAGACACTATCTCAACAAGTAGTGGAGTGTTCAAGTAGGATTTTACAAATAAAGACAGCTGTATTGGAGGCTAGGGTCTTGGGATTGAGGGCTTTAGACTCCTGTGAAGACCCTTCGGAGTGACATTCTTGCCTTACAGCATATCACCTAACCACTCCAGAGAAAACTCATATTCTAATGTGAGGAGCAAAGCTTTAAAATAACATTTAGAAACCATTTCTAAAGCTAGCCATGGAGCTGGGCCTGGTAGTTCGTACCTTTAATTCCAGTACTTGGGAGGCAGAGGCAGGCAGATCTCTGTGAGCTCAAGGCCAGACTAGTCTACATAGTGAGTTCCAGGATACCCAGAGCTATATAGTAAGACCCTGCTTTGAAAAATACCAAAAAAAAAAAAAAAAGCAAAAAACAAAACATAACAAAAAACTGCCACCACCACCACCAACAAAAATAAACTAGCCACAGTTATCCATGTCTATAATCTCAACACCTGGGAGTCTGAAGAGGAGGATTCTGAGTTTACAATGTATTTATTTATTTTATTTTTTCAAGGCAAGGTTTCTCTGTGTAGCCCTGGGTGTCCTGGATCTAGCTCTGTAAACCAGGCTGCCCTCAGACTCAGAAATCCACTTGCCCTTGCCCTCAAGTGCTAGGATTAAAGGTGTGTGCCACCATCACCCTAACAAATACAACTTTTAAAATAAATAAAAAGAGAAAACAAATGAATATAATATTTATAAAATCTTGCTGGTCAAGTCTAGTAACCTGTATTCTATCTCTGGAACCTGTAAAAGTAGGGGAGGACCAATCAAGAATGTTGTCCTCTTTCTTCTACCTGAAAGTAGTGGCTTGTGTGCCACCCCCACCATGTGTGCCACCTCCACTGTGTGTCACATCCCCACCATGTGTCACATCCACACCCTGTGTGACACCCTCACTGTGTGTGACATGGCCACCCAGTGTGACACCCACACACTGTAATGATAGCAATAAATTAATAAAATTATGTTTTTGAGTTATTCATTATTATTTTATTAGTGTTTTCCTGCATATATATGTATGTATACTGCACATGTATCTGCTGTCTTCAGAGGCCAGAAGACAGCATTTGATCATGGAGCTGGAGTTATAGCTGGTGTGAGCCACCACTTGGGTTCTAGGAAACAAACGTGGGTCTCTGTAAGAGTAGCAAGCGTTCTTAACTGCTAAGCCATCTGTTGGGCTCCTAAAATTATTCTTTTTAACTAAGGAAATGAGTAAAATAATGAAAGATGAAAAAGAAACATAAAAATAAGTTATAATTGTATCACCTAGAAATAATAATTTTCCCACATCTATTCTTCCAGATAACTTTATATATCCATGTTTTTCAGTTTAAGAGTCTTAGACCACACAGTTTTGTGGTAACAGCTGTCAACATCTCTCCATGTTGATTTACCCTCCCTCACATGTTAATGGTTTAATGATAATTTTGTTGAATTGCCTTCTTATGTGGTGTTTTGTTTTACAATTAAGATGATTTTAGATGTTTTGAAGTAATTTAAAAGATAATTACTTGGCTTTTTCCTTATTATGTATTTTCAATTTAAGATACACCTGAAGCCAATATCCTACTGAATTATATAAGAGAAAATAAAGAGACAAATGTAGCTGATGAAATTGACAGTTATTTGACAGAATCCGTAAACCGTAAGTGACATGGATGAGAGAGTGGGGCCGGGGCCTCAATCCTAGTACATCACGGCTCTAACCAGAGGTTCTTTCTTTGACTTATAGCCTTAGCCCCTCTTTTCATTTCTTTTGTTGCATTTGTTTTTAGAGGTTTTTTTTTTTTTTTGAGACAAAGTTTTACTATGTAGCTCTGGCTGGCCTGTAACTCACCATTTAGACCAGGCTGGCCTTGAACTCACAGATCTGCCTATCTCTGCCTCTTCAGTGCTATAATTAAAACTATGAGACACTACACCTGGCTTTAATTTTTTAAATAAATAAATAAATAAATAAATAAATAAATAAATAAATAAATGTGTGTGTGTATGTGTACGTGTATGTGTATATGTGTATATGTGTACATATGTATATATATATATATATTTTTTTTTTGTCTGCATGTTATCTGTGTACCTTGTGTACCTGTGAGAGCCAGAAGAGGGTGTGTTGAATTCCCTAGAACTGGATTTGGTGGTTGTAAGCCACCATGTGGGTACTGAGAACTGAACCTAGGTCTCTTAACCACTGAGCCATCTCTCCAGCCCCTATATTTTAATGGGGGAGCTTATATTAATATTGACCAATGTGAGAGAGATAACAACTCTTTCCTCAGGCAAGTGTAATGCTCACAGAATTTGACAGGAAGTATTATGTACATGAGGCCCTGAGTTCAATCCGTATATGTATTTCAGATGTTCTGGATGAGTCTTTTGCATGCCTTAGTCTTCCTACCTTTATTTTTTTTAAAAAAGAATCCTTTTATTTATTCTTCTCTGATACAATACATCCTGACCACAGCCTCCCTCCCCCTCTCCTCCTACCATCCCCTCCTGATCTCCCCTCTCCCTCAGATCCACTTCTCCATTTCCTTTCAGAAAAGGGCAGGGCTTCCAGTGATATCAACCAAACCCATAACTAGATGCAATAAGGCTAGGCACAAACCCTCATACAAGGCTGGGTGAGGCAACCCAGGAGGAAAGGGATTCCAAGACCAGGCAAAGAGTCAGATACCCTACTCCACTGTTAGGAATCCTCCAAAACCCCAAGCTAAATAACCACAACATATATGCAGAGGACTTAGCAGTCTCTATGAGGCGGGATTGCCACCTCAGTCTCTGTGAGCTCCCTGCTTAGTTGATTCTGTGGGTCAAGTTCTCCTGGGTCCTCAACCTCTCTGGCTCCTGTAGTCCTTCCTCCTCTCTTCCAAAGGGTTCCCTGAGCTCTGCCTAGTGTTTGGGTGTGGCTCTCTGCATCTGCTCCCATCACCTGCTTTTCTATTGAGATGTAAGCCTTTCTTCTATCTTAGAACATATATGAAATTATAATACTTGTTTTTATTTTTAGTAAACACAATAGTTAATGTCTATACAGTGGAACAGTTAAAAGTCAAAGCTTTGAAAAATGAAGGAAAAGCTGATCCTCTCTATGGTATCCTTTATGCTTACATTTCTACATTGAACATTGACGATGAAACTACCAAAGTACTTAGAAACAGATGGTACGTAGACATTATTTTCAACAAATTCATGAAAAATAATTACTGTTAATAAAGTCAAACTCTATAGTAGTTAAAGCCCTTCTTTGTCTTAACAGTGATTATATGAAAGAAGATCTTATGTAAATAAGCCATAATTAAATGTTTCTGTGTCAAATATATTTATGTTCTGTACTGTATAGTTTTATGTCAACTTGACACAAGGTAGAGTTATCTGAAAGCAGAGCACCTCAATTGAGAACATTCCTAGGTAAGATCAGACATTTTCTTAGGGCCTAGTCGATTGTGGATGGGACCATCCCTGGGCTGGTGGTCCTGTGTTCTGTAAGAAAGCAGGCTGAGCAAGCCATGAGGAGCAAGCTAGTAAGCAGCATGCCTCCATGGCCTCTGCATCAGCATCTGCCTACAGGTCTCCAGCTTCTCTGAGTTCCTGTTCTAGTTTCCTTTAGTGAGGCACTATGATATATAAATAAAAGCCAAGTAAAACCTTCCCTCCACAACTTGCTCTTTGGTTTTAGTATTTTGTCACAGCAATAGAAGCCCTGACTAAGACAGACTCGATGATAACTGACTTTAAGGCCTATGGTAGAGCTAAATGGGTCAATGCTTGCCTCACCTTGGGTTCAATTTCCAAGCACAACAAAAAAGAAAGAAAAAACCCCACTGGTTTTTAAAGTAAAATAGATCATATTTCTACATCAAAAAGATTAATGTTGTTTGAAACATTTAATTAGGATGACAGACTTGTTTTATGGTTTGGCAGAAAACAGTTTTGCTTGTCATGTCTTACAGCAATATGAAAACATATTAAATTTTTTTCAATACATGGCATATCTGATCTCCATCCTTGGTTACCTTGCTTACAGAGTAAAGCCCAAAACATTAAAAAAAAAAAATATATATATATATATGTATATATATATATGTGTGTGTGTGTGTGTGTGTGTGTGTATGTATATACATATATATTTACATATATATTTACATATATATTTACATATATATTTACATATACATATACATATATATTTACATATATATTTACATATACATATACATATACATATACATACACACACACACACACACACACACACACACACACACACACACACACACATATATATATATATTTGGTTTTTCAAGACAGGGTTTCTCTGTGTAGCCCTGGCTGTCCTGGAACTCACTCTGTAGACCAGGCTGGCCTCGAACTCAGAAATCTGCCTGTCTCTGCCTCCCAAGTGCTGGGATTTAAGGCATGCACCACTACTGCCCGGCTAACATTTACTAATTTTAATCAAACAATGCTTGGCAAGAAAGAAACATCTAAAATGTTATTGTGAAAGTCTCTCTACAGATTTTTTATAACTGAATTTTTAAAATTGAGATTAACTTGAGAGTCACACAAAGTCAAGGATGCAGAGATTGAGCTTGGTGTGATGATGTCTGTCTGTAATCCTAGCTCTTGGGAAGTGGAGGCAGGAAGATCAAGAGTTCAAAGCCAGCCTGTGCTATGTGAGACCGTCTTAAAAACAGTTCTTACTGGGTGGGGTTGGCACTGGCCTTTAATCTCAGCTCTCAGGAGGCTCAAACTCAGAGTGTAAGGCTAGCTTGGTCTACAGAGCAAGTTCCAGGATAACCAGGGCTACACAGAGAATCCTTGTTTTAAAAAATAAAAACAAACAAACAAACAAATATAAAACCCCAAAATTCTCAATCAACACAAATAAGAGAACAGAGAAATCTTTCTTATCCTTTGTCCAATGCACCCTAGAAGTCTAGAAGTTTGCAAGGGATAACGCCTTACTCCACAGCAGATCAGGATAGTGAACGCCTCAATCCGATCATCTCATCCACGTTCCCCAGATCTACACACAGTCACTTGTGTATATATGTTCTAGATTTTAGAGTGAGTTTGTATGTCTAGTTTCATGGTAAATATAAATAACATGGTATTTTAGAACATTTTATAATATTATTATAATGTTATGAGGTAATTCTGTTAGAGATCAAATTTGTCCCTGAGGATCATTATCTTTTGAATAACATTTGTTTCTTTTCAGTTCCAGCTGTGGTTATATTGTGAATGAAGCCTCCAATACTTGTACAATTTGCAACAAAGATTCTTCCAGATTTAAATCTTTTTTTCTCAGTTTTGATGTGCTAGTTGATCTTACTGACCACACTGGAACACTTCATTCCTGCAGTCTCTCAGGAAATATTGCTGAGGAAACTTTGGGCTGCACGGTAAATAGCAGAAAGGAAAAAAATAGACCTATTTCTGATATTCTTGAATATTCTTCCTTAAAGCTATAGATTATTTTGTTGAACATTTGATAGGAACTAATTAATTAATTAATAAAGAGATCTTAGGAAAAGCCATCTTGGTTTAAACATACGTATTTAATTTTTTTAAAATGTTGTATTTTATGTGTGTGGATTTTGCCTGCATGTTTATTTGTGCATCACATGCCTGCCTGGTGCCTACAGAGGCCAGAAGAAAGCATCTGACCTTCTGGAATTGGAATTAAAGATGGTTGTGGGCTGCCATGTAGGTGCTGGGAACTGATCTTAGTGATCTCTGCAAGAGGAGCAAGTGCTTTTAATCACTGACCCATCTCTCCAGCACCAAACATAATCTAAATCTAATGAACATATGATCTATTAAAATCTCAGTTAATTTTGACTATTGTGAGTAATGGCAGGCCTTCAGCAAAACAGAGGACTAAATATGACATTTTAGGACAAAGTCCTGTTCTATAGCTCAGACTGCTCTTTGTTTTTCAAGATAGAGTTTATCTGTGTAGCCCTGGCTGTCCCGCAACTCCCTCTGTAGACCAGTCTGACATTGAAGTCAGAGATCTGCCAGCCTTTGCCTCCTGAGTACTGGGATTAAATATATGTGCCAAGACCACCCAGCTTAAATATGACATTTTATATAGTCAAGTATAATGAATGGATAAGACATAGTGGAGATATTGATCAGGAATGCACTGGCTGTTCTAGAAGTCTGTATTGGACATATCTCTCCTCTCCAGCTGTCCAGCTGGTTCATATTCTGTCCATTCTGCAGCTACAGAACAGCAGATACATGGAGACCGGCACATGCTTGTTAACACTAGGTCACAGCTGAGCACTGTGGTACATATCTATAATCCCAGCACTTGCAAGGTACAGGCAAGAGGATCATGAGATCAAGGGCATTCTTGGGTACACGGTGAAACTGTAGGACAGCCTGGCCTATATGAATCCTATATCAAAAAAAAAATAAGAAAAAGAAAAGCAAAGATTTTAAAAGTGACTATTAAATGTTGGCTTAGAATTCTGAGCCAGTTTATTGTGAAGAGTTTTCCCTGTTGAATCCTTGACTAACTAATGGTTCTAGTGATAGTTTTTCATGGTTCATCTTCCCTGTCTAAGGAACTGAAGTGTAATGTTGTGAGTAAAGGTCTATCTCTAATAAGCATGTGTGCTTCACAGTATTGTCAAATGAGTTACCTCTGTCTATTTCACAAAGTTACTTGATCTTTTGTTTTTAACAGATAAGTGAGTTTCTTGCAATGACAAGTGAACAGAAAACAAAGCTGAAGTGGCAACTTCTTTTGGAAAGAAGCAAAATTTATTTAAAAGTGAGTGTAATTTAGAGAAGTGTTATTTTATTAATTCAAGCAATAAAAAAATCTTCATAGGAAATTTATTTTCAGAGCTGAGAAAAGAACCAAGGGCCTTTCATATGCTAAGTAGATGCTCTACCACCAAGCAGCACCCAGCTGAGGAGTGGGGTGTCACTAACAAGGTCAATTCCAGATGTACAAAGGGTTTTGTCTGTCAAAGAAACAGTGAAAATAGTCATAGACTAAAGGGAGTCAGTTACCAATGATGCTTTATAGTGTCAAGAAAATTCCCTTAATGATAACTTCAAGGCAAGGCAACAGACATCACAGTGAAAACTGGGCTGTCCCATCATGCCTGCCTGTTTGACACTATGGTTTGATGAGTGAGAGGTTGTAAAATACAGTTCAGTGTCTTGTATCTGGGCTGCCACAGGTGTGCTGTGAACTATAGTCCCTACAGCCCCTGCACATGAGCACTGTGTATACTGTGTGTCACTGTGGTTCACTCAGCCTGTGTAGTTATGTGAAGGGCCAGCACCAAGTCCTGAGACATTCTCTACTGTTAGAGGATCAGAGCATCTTTGTATTGGAGCTGTGGAGGGCTGGCGAGTCTGATAAACTCTTGGCCCCTTGCCCAGGTCACTTGGGAGAGGACAACCACCAGGGTTCCTTCTTTCCTGCCTTGCCTGTAATGCTTTCTCTTGTAATCTTAGAAGTTACTGAGCTCCAGTTTCTATTTGCTGATATTTATTCCATTAGAATTTCATATTGAACAAACAAACATGCTCAAAAGCCCTTGTACCATTAGAAGTCAGAGCAATGACGTCCTCTCCTACTCTACAGATGGCAGAGAATGGGAGAAGAAATGTCCACACTGATATGACTATGATGACCCCTTCTGTGGTTCTTGTGAGTGCTATTTCTACTCCACCACAGCCTAATGGAGGCTGTAATATTTCCAAGTGGTCTCTTTCTAGGCACCTCAAGATTAGTCTGAATAGACTGCAGACATGGAGTCAGTAATGGCCTCTCCAGTGTTTCTAGAACCTGGGCTTGAGGTTGTAGTAACCATGGGTACCGGGCCCTAGGAGAAAATTAGTTCTATGCTGCTCCTCTCACATATATGCGGGCCCACAGAATGTCCTGTTCCATCATCTTAAGAACACACATGACTTTGCTAACGAGTATGATCATTTTAAACAACTTATATTTATGTGTATGGGTGTTCTACCTGCTCATATGTCTATGTAGCGTGTGTGTGCAGTGCTTTCAGAGACCAGAAAAGGTCATCTGATCCCATGGGCCTGGACTTACAGATGGTTGTGAGCTACCACCTGGGTGCTATAATGAACTCGGGTCTTCTGCAAGAGCAGCAAGTACTCTTACTCACCGAGCCATCCCTGTAGTCCTGTTTGACCACTTTACATTCATGGAAACATGTGTAAAGTTTTCTAGACTTAACTCATGTACAACAAATTGTCCTCAAGTACAAGCATATTGGATCTTTCCAAAACATACATTTAAAAGATTGTATTTGGGGTGAGGGGGTTAGTGCTGAGGATATGCCCTGTTAGGAGCCCTGGCTATTCTTTCAGAGGACCTGAGTTCATTACCAGCACCCACATGGGGCTAACAAGCAATCTTTTAATTTCTGTTTCAAGGGATCCAATGTCCTCTTCTGGCCTCTGAGGACACCAGACATGCAAGTGATGTATAGACATGCATGCAGGCAAAACACCCATGGATGTGTAAAAATCTGTTCTTATTTTGGCTTGGTTTTGTTTCTTTTGAGATAGGGTTTCCCTCTGTGCTTGGATATCACTATTGACTGGCTTCATGGCTATCCTCCTGCCTCAGTCTTCTAAGTACTGGGATTACAGGCATGAGCTTTTGTGTGTGTATGAACTAGTGATGGAATTCTCTAGTCAAGACTCTACCAGTGAGCCGCGTGCCTGGACCCTAAAAGAGATTTAAGTTTATTCATGAAAGATCTTAGACAGATGTATCATGATTATAATACACAAAATATATAATAAAACCAGAGCCTGTAAGCCAGGTCTAGTGACTTACACCTGTGTCTACTTGGTAAGGTAAGGCAGGGGAATTACTTGAAGTCAGGAGTTAGACACCAGCACGTGTAATACAAAATCACAACACTATCTCAAACAAGTAAAAACTAAATATAAGAATTTATAGCCAGGCGGTGGTGGCGCACGCCTTTAATCCCAGCACTTGGGAGGCAGAGGCAGGCGGATTTCTGAGTTCGAGAGTTTGAAGCTAGCCTGGTCTACAGAGTGAGTTCCAGGACATCCAGGGCTACACAGAGAAACCCTGTCTTGAAAAAACCAAAAAAAAAAAAAAAGAATTTATATTATTTGAGAAATTTGGTCAAATATGCCAGCTAGATAATCTTAGCACCTGGTCAGTGGAGGCAGAAATACCTGAAGTTCTCCATCATTCTCCAGTGTTTGATATCATACTGGGCTATATGAAACTCTACTTTTAAATAATCCAAAATAAAACTCTGCCTATAAAGATAAAATACTTTCTATATTTCTCATATCTCTAGTAAAAATAGTTGCCACTGTAGTGATTCTGAGCTGTGCTCAGCTGTGTGAGAGGGTCGTGAGTTAGAGGTCAGCAAGGGTCAGACGGCAGGACCCTGCTTCAGAGAAGCATAAAAACCAGAAAAGAACGACATCATCATTGTCATGATCATCATCATCATCAACAACAACAACAAAAGCCCTTGCAGTTCTTCCTTTGTGGTCACTGGTTTTCAGCTTGGTGTACGAGGCAATGTTTAACTCTATCCCTCTGTCTCTTTTTCTCCTTCAGTTGATTTTATCACACAGAGCAAGGGGTGGACTGAAAGTGACCATACTCTCCTGTAAGCTTGCAGACCCTACCGAGGCAAGCAGGAACCTGGCTGGACAAGGACACACTTAAAACCAGATTTTGTTCCAAATTCCGAGGAAATATAGACATTTAACTCTTAAGATGGAATGTTAACTTGAGAATTATGTGTAAAATTACATTTTTCCTAAATGTGGTAAAACTATTTCTTAGATTGCCACTTTTTCCTTTTGGAGTTAGCCCAGCCCCCTGGAATACCATTTCTACTAGCTTTACCCTGTCTTCTCTTACATAGGGAAATGTTTGCTTATGTACAGAAATAAACATGCTTGATCTCCCTCACAGATGTGAATGGTTTCTTTGTCTCTGGAAGAAGGTTAGAACCCCCCAGAATGTCCTGTCTGTAATGTGGTAGCACATATCACTTGTCAGGACACAGTGAAAGCTTCTTGACATTGGAGAGAAGGCAAGTCTGTGCAGGAGCTGGTCTGGCTTGGATGATGACACTCTGGAGCTACCTGGTGCATGCAAAGACTTGCTGTTGCAAGCTTGGCACTTATGAATCAGCAGGGAGGGACCAACTTCAAGAGCAAGTGATGTCTGAACTTTGAAGAGGGAACTTTCTCAAGACATCGTGGTGGCAGCTGCTTCTCATCTCGTTCTCTCTCTAGCAGCACAGGGCAGGCACAGTGCTCAGCTCCACACGGATCTGAGCTACTGTTTCAGGCACCAGCCGCTCTGCAAGACCCACCCTAGCTCAGCACCAATTGTGAACCTCAAATCTGATCCACTGTCCTGCAGAAGGCAGGACACAAGACAGAAAAGTGAGTATACTGAACTCTCTTATGTAGCTGGTGTTGGAAGGGACATGTGTGAAAAGTTCTAACTCCAGAAGGAAACAGTGACAATTTAAGAAATAATTTTACTACATTTAGGCAAAATGTAATTTTACACATGATCCAATGTTTTCTATGGTTTTTCCTATGTGCATTCATGGAGATTTGCCAGGTGATCCTGGTATGTCCAAACTGAGCTAGTAAGTGAGATAGTGAGGGACTTGATCTAGACAAGCGAGGTGAAGCTGATGCAGGGCTTCCTCCCATTCTCTTTGAAGAGAGAGAGATGGATCACATAAGCAAGATCAGGGTGACAGGGAAGGAGCGATGAAGATTTGGAACTGCCTGGCTAGGAGAAGAGAACTGAGGGTGTCAGGGTAGGATTAACATTTGCTGTTAGCTGAGAGTGTTTACAGGCTTGTTAGTTAGCTTTCTGTTGCTGTAATTCCAGAAGAAATACACTTAAAGGAAGAGAGATTTAGTTTGGCTCCTGATATCAGACATCATCCCTTGCCCATTGCTTTTACTTAAGGCTGAATATCATGATTGGCAGCACATGGCAGAGCAAAGCTGTTGACCTCATAAAGAAGCAGAGAGAGGGTTCCCAAGAACATGTCCCAAGGTCCCCTTTCTTCTGCCGGACCCACTTACTAGTTCCTCTTTTTCTCTATATTCAACAGGGCTTTCTTTTGTGGCAAGCTGGCCTTGAACTTTATAATCCTTTTTCTTCATCCTCCTAAGTACTGATACTATAGGGATGGTATTGGAACTTACTGTAGACAGAAAGTTGGTTCCATGATGCTTCTGTGTCTACCTCCCAGGTGCTAGGATTAGAAAGGTTCATCACCGTGCTTGGATATGTCCTCATTTCACATGCCTCCCAAGAGCCCATTAATGAACTAGTCCATTGGTGATGTCAGAGCTTTCTTGATCCAGGCAACCAAACATTTTTAACCCAAACCACAATGGTGTGCCCTCACTGGATCCCACTCTGCCATGTCAGGGGCTGCTGGCCAAGGGCAGGTCTGTAAGCACCAGCTTGGTTCCTGTGCCAATGGTCTTCAGCTGTGCCAAATGTCTCACCACTGCTTTCTACCACATAATAGAGACATCCTCCTTGTGAGTGCCCTGGCAATGCTGTTGCCTGGCACAGACGGGTATCAGTGTGGCCAGCAGAGGGCACTAAATTACCTGCTCACAACCCAGGTGAGCTTATCTCTTAGATTTTGCTGGTGGCATAGTAATCAGAAAGGTCCAGTGACACCAAATCAAAGGTATGTTTCAAAGTTTAACTTAACACATTTATGTTAGCCAATTCCTGGAATTGGAAGCTTTGGGTTCGTGCCGGATTTATTAGACTACTTTTTTTTGTAGACTATGCTTTGGTGAGTTTATTTGATCTGTACACAATACACGGCAAAAACATCATTCATATATATGTGCATGCATTATCCTGAGGAATCCTGGATTTCTTTCACAACCATTTTTTAAATCAAGTTTTATATTTTTTTTATAAATAATAGACATCAGAACATGGTAACTGTAACCTTTTACATTTTAAAACTCAAGTCATGTTTTCAAATGTATTTTTGTTTTATATCCAGATGCACACCTTCAATCTCACCACTTGGGAGGCAGAGGCAAGTGGATATCTGTGAGTTCGAGGCCAGCCTGGTCTACAGAATGAGTTCCAGGACATCCAGAGATACACAGAGAAACCTGTCTTGGGCCCCTTCCCTAAAATTCATAATCATAACCATTTTTACATATAGCATTCATTGGTATTAGTTACATTTATAATGTGTGCTTATGACCTTTCCAGAATCATTTACTTCCTTACATACTGCAACTTCACACATTGACCATTCACCCTTCTTCCCTCCCCACAGCTCAGGTAGCCTCTGATCTACAGTTCATCTCTGTAAATTAGGCTCACCCTGCCTGGGGAGGTCCCACAGTATTTGTCCTTGTGACTTCACTTAGTACAAGGATTTTTAAGTTCATCCATATTGTAATATGTGTCATTCTTTTATATAGTTGAGAACTATTCCTTTAGCTTGATATGCTATATTTTATTTATTTGTTCATCTGCTGGTGACATCTGAGTTTTAACCTTTGGGCTATTAGGAACTTCACTGTTCTGAACATGCCTGTGCAGACAAACAACACTTTTGTATGTCCTTCCTGAATGTCTTCTACCTATATACATTAAAGTATATCATTTATAAACTATGCTAAACTAATGTTTTTTGTTTTGTTTTTGTTTATTTTTAAAAATTTATTTATTTTATGGATGTGAGTACACTGTTGCTCTCTTCAGACACACCAGAAGAGGGCATCAGATCCCATTACAGATGGTTGTGAGCTACCATGTGGCTGCAGGGAATTGAACTCAGGACCTCTGGAAGAACAGTCAATATTCTTAACCACTGAGACACCTCTCCAGCTATAAAGTATAACTATAAGAATATATATATATATTTGTTTTTTTTGAGACAGGGTTTCTCTGTATAGTCCTGGCTGTCCTGGAACTCAGTCTGTAGACCAGGCTGGCCTCAAACTCAGAAATCCACCTGCCTCTGCCTCCCAAGTGCTGGGACTAAAGGCGTGCGCCACCACTGCCCAGCTCCTTTTGTGATTCTTAATTCCAAATTCTCATAGCAATTGGGAAAACTCAGGTTAATTCATGCAAAAAACATAGACTTATAAGCTTAGTCTATGATTGGCAAATATCAATTATCTTTGTGTCCTTACCACTTATTGGTAATATTTTTGGATTACCAATAATATTTTTGTTGTATAAAATTTTCCTAGTATATTATGACATTTACAGTTACTTTAAAATAGAATATAACATTTTGTTGAAAATAATTTTTTATATAATATATTCTGATATTTTCCCACCTCCCAATGCCTCCTAGACCTTCTTCACCTCCTCACTCACCCAACTCCATTCCTTATTCCTATTTCTCTTTAGGGAACAAACAGGCAAACACATAATAATCCAGAATTTAAAAAGAAAGACAGAAAAAAGCACAAGAAACACACACACACACACACACACATAAAACACAAAACTATCACCTTAGTCATGGTATTCGGCCTTGGCTAAGTTTGTAGAGTTGGGAGAGGCATTTTGAAACTTCCACACTGTGTTACACTCACTCCTTAAACATTTACTCATCCAAGAGAGGAAACAGATGACAGACCAAAATAGGTGGCATCACCAGAATCTAACTCATTTGATGAACCAATGAGTTTTATTGGGGTTACTTATAGGAGTATAGGTATGAGGTTACTTACTGGAGAAGAAATGAGTCAAACAGCTATATCACCAAAAGCCCACCCTAACATAGGTGAAGTTGCATGAAAGCTGGAACCTCAGAATTCACTGCAAAACTTGTAGACAGTTTGACTGATTGAAGACTATCACAGGCAACTCAATTAGTCTGAGTCTCTTCCAGGCAGTTCTGCCTGTCTCCTTCAAGAACTTTCTTAAGTAACATTGCCCCCCACAGAAAAAGATCGCTTCAAAGTTGGAAATAACAGGGCCAGAGGGGTCCCTGCCTCTTCCAGGCAGTTAGCTTGTTGGAGACTCCTCTAAGCAGCTCAGTATGTCTATCTCATAGAGGTACTTACTGTTTATATAAGCTTGGAAAAGGAGGGGCCTATGGGGCTGGTGAGATGGCTCAGTGGTTAAGAGCACTGACTGCTCTTCTAGAGGTCATGAGTTCAAATCCCAGCAACCACATGGTGGCTCACAACCATCTACAATGAGATCTGATGCCCTCATATGGGTGTCTGAAGACAGCTACAGTGTACTTACATATAATAAATAAATAGATCTTTAAAAAAAAAATAGGAGGGGCCTAGTACATCTGGTCAGTTTTCAGAACTTCCTGAAACTATTGAGTTGTTTATTTACTGCAATTTTAAATAGCTTCTCTGAAGGACTAAATGTTTCAATTCTCTTTAGCACATCCTTTGTCTTAAGGGGCTTTTATAAAGATGGAATGGTTTATCTTGGAGGAAATTGCTACACAATACTAGTCAAGTACAAATTTGTATATTCTTTTTCATACACAAGTTAATAAAATGTACCTAAAACCTTTAAGTGTAAACCAGCTAATGAGTTTCGTAGCCATGTTTTTCCCTTTAAAAAAATGAGTAAATGTTCAATGTTGTTTGAAAGCTTGTCCTTCCCCTTGTTGCCCCTAACAGTTTAAGCATCAGAAACAGAACCCATGGAGAATGATGTCCCCAACTTGGACCCAAAGTTTGCAGGGATCTCCTAGCTTCTGTGAGGAGCAGTGAGGCCTGATAAGGCCCTGGAAGAGGCAGAGTTCACCATGACTGCAGACTTCCTTAGTACTCTCTCCAGATGCAGTCATCTGCCCACTGAGTTTCACTCTAGCTCTCTCCCACTTGCCTCATAGGTGTTGCCCTCTGCCCTTTCTAGTTCCTGATGATCTGTTTATATGATTCTGGGATCAAACCCAAGGCAGCTAGAATTATAGGCCTGTGAAACAGGGACTGGCCTATTGCTCACTTTTTATAGATGCCCAATGAAATATCCATCTATCTCTCTATCTTATCTACCTACCCACCCACTTTTTTTTTTTTTAAGTTTCACTATGCTGTTTAATCTAGCATGTTGCCTAGAAAGGCTTGTAGGAGGAAGAGTACAAATACACTTCTCCAGCATTTTTCCTAGAGACCATTTCACCCACTGCTCTGGCCACTAGCCTCTTATCTCTCTCTTCAGCAATGGTGAGGCAGATTCCTTTTCCTTGGGGAAGAGAGTCCATGGTTTGTTGCCCTTGCCAATAAGAAAATGTTGGAAAGCCATTGGTATCTTTCACATGAACCACATCAAAAGAGCCAGGATGTCTCTATTGATTACACCAACCTTCCCAAGTTAGCACCCCTAGTCACCATACACAGGTTCCCAGTGTCGAACTTGATGAAGTCAGTTATTTTGCCTGTCTCCAAATCAATCTGATCGGTGTCATTCACCTTAATGAGGGAGGGGATCAAGGTATCAAATAGTACTAGCATCATGGGTCACCAGATGTGGGATTCCTTTTGTGCCCACAAAGATCTTTCTCACTTTGCACAACTTGTACTTGACCTCCTCAGGTGTAATACTCCCACCCACCTATTTGAGGCAGGGTCTCACTATGTAGGTCTGGCTGGTCTGGAACTCCCTCAATTTTTATAGACACCCAATGAAAATCCTCCTGAGAGCACCCCTTTAAAAAGTCTACTGGACAACAATCCCCATCTTATGCTCTGCTTCTGGGGTATATGATCTAAGATAGAACAATTAAAAATAATTAGATGAGTATGCACGCTTGTATTCACTAACTTGAAAAGATGCCCATAATATATTAAGAGAATATATAGTACTTTTCTCCTGTCCCCGTACTGGGGACGGAACCTAGAATTTTATACATGATGGTGATAGGCAAGTACTCTATCACTTAAGTATATACTCAGCCCTTGTTTTTGTGATTCAGGGTTTTGTGTAGTCTGGCCTTGAATTTGATATGTAACCAAAGGTGAGCTTGAACTCCTGATCCTCCTGCCTCCACCTCCCAAGTGCTAGGCACGATCTGTTTATGATTCTGGGATCAAACCCAAGGCAACTAGAACTATAGGCCTGTGAATTGGGGACTGGCCTATTGCTCACTTTTTTATAAATACCCAATGAAATTATCTATCATCTATTTATCTACCTTCCTACCTACCTATTTGAGCTCACTGTGTAGCCCAGGCTGGGCTGGAACTCCCTAGGTAGTCCAGGCTGGCCTTGAACTCACAGAGACTTACCCACTTCTGCCTCCTGAGTGTTAGGATTAATGGCATGCACTCCAATACATTAAAGCAAAACCAAATAACTGTAACAGGTGTCAAGACATATTCTGCCTAGACTAATATGAAGTTATTTTTATGTGTGATTAGCAAATGATAATATTTTTGTTTTTGAGTCTATGTATTATTGGGTGTCCTGAAACACACTATATAGACCACACTACCAAGTGCTGGGATTAAAGGTGTGTACCACTATGACTGTCCAACAATTTGTTGTTTTTAATTTTCATTTTATGTTTATGGGTGTTTTGCCTGCCAATGTCTATGCACCATATTCATGCAGTGCCCACGGAGATCACAGGGTGTTGGATTCCCTTGGATTGGAGTTAGGCAGCTGTGAGCAGCCATGTGGTTGCTGGGCTTGAACTTGGATCTTCTGGAAGAGCAGACAGTGCTCTTAACCTCTGGGCCATCTCTCCAGATCTGAAAATTGCAGTTGCTGAATCCACTGAAGGGAGTCTGACTTCATTGAATGTACCCTTCAGCTTTTCATAGGCTATATTTGTTTAAAATAAGTTGAAGGGATATGTTTCTTCTGGGTGTTGGGGTTACTGTTATTTTAGCAGCTCAGGAATTGAGAACTAGAATGTTTTTGATTCCTGTATCCAAGGATTTGTGTGTGTAATGCTGATGTCAGACATGTGTGACAAAGCTCATTCTGTGGCTTGGTGGACACTGACCCCATGGCCACTGTACATTCTGGGCACTAGTTTGTGCCCTCAGCTTGCTTACATGGTCTGTTTACTTGGTAGATGTATCTCAGCCGAACCTTGTACTTGCTAACTAGATTAACATTACATTGCAATATGAACACACCCTTTGACTTTGGGAATCCAGCCACAGGAATTAAGAATTAACAGTGTGTTGATTGCGCCAGCAAATCCTAATGTCTAAAACCAGGGGGTGGAAGTCACAATAGCCAGTGTAACATCAGTGTAGGAAAATGGTGTGATATCGTACTTACCTGTTCCTTCAGCAACACTCGGGCAAGTAAGGAGAGGATCATGAGTTACAGGCAAGCCTGAGCTACATAGTAGGACTCTGTCTTTAAAAAAAGATGTGGAAGCTAATTCTCTTAAAACAATATTTTATACAGATTTGGAAGAATTTATACCAAATGTGTAACTTCAGCTGTCTCTGGGTAGATGAACCTTAAAGTGTTTTCTTCCTTTCTTACCTAAAATTCCTCACTCATCTATAATAAACATTGATGGCTAAGTAATTAAATAAACTACTAAAGGATTAAAAAAAAATGGAAAACTTAGGCCAGGTGGTTCATTGAGTTCGGTCATCCTGAGCTACGACAGTGAGACTCTTAAAAAAATCACAGTTATTAAATGGCATTATGGGACCTCATAATAAATAATTAAGCATGGGGCTCACAGAATATCTAAATGCTTACATTTTCTTGTTTTTTTTTGGTTTTTGTTTGTTTTTCTAGACAGGGTTTCTCTGTGTAGTCCTGGCTGTCCTGGAACTCACTCTGTAGACCAGGCTGGCCTCGAACTCAGAAATCCGCCTGCCTCTGCCTCCCAAGTGCTGGGATTAAAGGCGTGCGCCACCACCGCCCGGCTGCTTACATTTTCTTATATATCTACTTATATGACACTACCTATGCTGTGGTTAAAACTCAGGTTCTGAGTTTGTGACAATTTCATTACAACTTGGCTCCTCGCCGGGCAGTGGTGGCACACGCCTTTAATCCCAGCACTTGGGAGGCAGAGGCAGGCGGATTTCTGAGTTCAAGGCCAGCCTGGTCTACAGAGTGAGTTCCAGGACAGCCAGGGCTACACAGAGAAACCCTGTCTCGAAAAACCAAAAAAAAAAACAAAAAACAAAAAAACAAAAAACAAACAAACAAAAAAAACAACTTGGCTCCTCTGCTTCAGTTCTGTCTTCTAAGTCTGCACTGTCATCAGAAATACCAATAACGCCAGTGGCATAGCCTTGCTAAAACACACACACACACACACACACACACGGAATACACAGAAGTATGGAATGAAGTATGGATGGCATATTGCCTCATAGTAATGATAAATTACTAAAGAGATGTAACATGCCTTCTGAAAGGGACCGGCAGGCTCCTATGTACCCTCTCAGCAGAAGCCACTGTCTAATTCTAGAAGACTCCACTGGGCCCTGACAGCTGTGCTGTGCATTCTCACAGACATTTTATCAGGAAGAGTTGCAAGCATGAACAAATGCAGCATCTCCAGGCCTGTCAGTTTCCTAGGACTTTTGTCTTTGCTGTGGAGGTATTGGTTCACGTTGTTAATAAGTTAAAGCATGGTGCTCAGGAAGCCAAAGGTCAGGGTTCTAAGTCCCAGAGAAAGAAATACTCCCCACCCTAGGATAACAAAGTACACTTTTAAGTGTCCAAGAAATTGTCTTTATTTGGAAAACAATTTCAAAATTATCTTCCAAACTCAGAAGCCACAGCCAACACAGAAACCCAAAGTAAACACGGCAGGACTTCGCCAATAGCTCATTTAACAAAAATTTTATCTGATTTGGGGGTGGAGAACTTTCCCAAGTAAAAATCAATTGGAGTGCTTTGTATAAACAGCTTTCCTAAAGGCCATTATCATTGAGTTACTTGCCTTTGCAGCTTTTAAGCCTTGTGTTATAGACTTCAGAATGATTTATTGAAGTCTTATATAGTCTAGCAACCTAATGACATTTTTAGATTTTCACTATGATTGGCATTTATTCCACTTGCTTCTGACTCCCTTCTCCTTTGGCATTCGTTAAGAACACTTAGTATTCTGACCTTTCCACCTTGAACCTCATACTAACCACCCCATCTATGCCGGCCTCGATCTCATCATTTTCTTTAACTGGCCCAACTCCCTTTGGGGTCCCGGTCAGAATAAGATCTCCTTCTTCCAAGGTTATTATCTTGGAAACATAGCTGATGATGTAGGGGATCGAAAAGATCATAGATGATGTTTTGCCCTCCTGCCTGAGCTCTCCGTTGACCTTGAGCCACAGTTTTAGGGCATGAGGATCAGGAATCTTCTCCTTGGGCACAAAGGCGCTGACCGGGCAGGAGGACGTGAAGCTCTTGGCCAGGGTCCACGGCAGCCCCTTCTTCTTGCACTCTTCCTGAACATCTCTGGCAGTCATGTCCAGGCACAGGGCGTAGCCGGCCACGTAGTCCATGGCTGCAACCTCCGGGATCGCTTCTCCACGCCTGCCCAGAAGCACTCCCAACTCCACCTCGTGGTGGAGATTCCGGCAGTAAGCGGGCATTAACACCGGTGAGCCCTCCGGAGCGTACGCGGTGGACGGCTTCAGGAAAATCACAGGCTCACTCAGCACGGTGCTGCGCATCTCCTTGACGTGGTCTGCGTAGTTCCTCCCCACGCAAACGATATTCTTGCCCCACTCCCAGAAGCGAGACAGCGGCTTGGTGGAAGCCATGGTACAGCCTTGGGTCACGTGACCACCGGCTCCCCGGGACTACGGCGGCCTCCAGAGGACTCGCTGCCTTCGGACGCTGTCCAGGCCGGGGCGGGGCAGCGGGACGCTGAGGTCAGCTAGAAGTCTCTGCGCCCGAACGACTGCCCCAGAGAGACGAGGAGGCGCGCGATCAGCCTCCCACCTCCTCCTACACTTACTTCCAGACCAAGTCCCCGGGCCAAGGCTTCCAGGGCAAGTAGGGAACACTTTTTTTTTGGGCAGGAGCTACTACTGATTGGCTAGTGGCGGCGCGGCGGTGCGAGACAGCCAGTGGTTGGCTGTGAGCTCTATGGGCGGACACTGATGGATTGAGGCGTGGCCTATTGGTAAAGAGCGGGAGCTGGTTGGTTGGGGGCAGTACGAGAAGGACACTGATTGGCTGCAGTCGCCAACGCCAGTGTTGATGCCCACGACGCTGGTGTTGCGGACTCCGCGACCCCGCTGTGCACCCCGTGGGTCATGGTGCTGGGTCGCGGGTCGCTGTGCCTCCGGAGCCTGTCAGCGCTGGGAGCCGCCTGCGCGCGCCGCGGTCTGGGTAAGTGTGTCTAGGGACTGACGCGGCGCGGCCGGGTGCCGGAGGCCGGACGTCGGTTGGGCGAGCCCTCGCTGTCTCTAGGCGCAGGTGCTGAGCGCCGCCGGGTGGGCGAGAAGCGGGGCCGGGCGTGTTGAGGGCCTTGGAATAGGCATCTGGCGTTGGCGGGGTCCGTGGCCCGGAATCGAGGCAGAGGGGCTGGCACCCGCTCCCTTCCCGGCCGGAGTTGGTCTCCAGTTCTAGGGTCGCGACTTCAGTTTCTAAGTCAGCATTTCCTCTTGGCGTCTAACTGATGTGGTGACAGTGGGTTGCCAGAGTCCCGGAGCTGGCCAGCCTGAGTTCAGCTAGCTGGGAACTTTGGAACAATCGTGATTGAAATTGTGTGGACCATCTTTACTAAGAACCCCGCTCGTTGAGAATCCCAGAAGTATGAGTCTGTCCATTTAAGGGATACCCCTTAGTGTCACTGCGGAAGGCTGTTTAAGAGCTAGGCGAGAGTACAATTACTGCTGAGCAGCTGCTCATGGAGTGGGAAGCTCAGCATTTGGTGCTACAGAAGCCCGCCCGGTGAGAAGAGGAAACTCTCTGAAACGTCTTTTGACGTTTGAGCAAAATAAGACAAGTCTGTGGATTTGGCCTTGAACACAGGATGCAGGTCTGTGATCTCAATTCAAGCAGAATGTCCCTAGTTGCAAACTAAGGATCTGGGAGCGATGAATTTCTTCCATAGGAGTGATCGCATCTTCTCCAGAGCAGTCAGGCTCTCTTCCGACCTAGAGTGGGTTGAGCACTAGTTAACAACATGATCTTTATCCATGCAGTGTTTATTGTATTCTGCCTTACATAAAAGGGCTCGTATTCACCTGTTTTCAACCTCTGCTGTCCATCCGCTTGGATAGTGCTAGGGCTTAGAGGAATTCAAATATTACAGAAACCCGATCTTACAGAAATGTGTATTTTGCTGAAAATGAGAAGGGTCTGGAAAATGCCCAGCTGTTGTGCCAAAAGGAGAAATGGGGATCAGGGTTGTGACTCAGTGACAGAGCACTTCCCTAGAATGCTTAAAGCCCTGGGTTTCACCCGAGGCAGCACAAATTAAAGTAGAGTTTGGTTAATTTTGCTGGCCTTGGTTATTAGAGTAGATAGTTGAAAATGTTTTGGCCTCTGTCCACTGGGTGGAGTATAGTTTTGTCCCTTGGTCACTTGATGCCTCCTTGCTCTACCCCAGGACAATCCTTGCATGATGAGTTCTGTGCCCTTCATGCTTGAGTCCCAAACAGCAGTTTCTTATCTTCAGGAGCTGGCGCTGTGTTTTCTTTTATACTGGCCATACTGAGAAAACACGGTTCTGTCCTCTGGCTGAAGGCCTGAGAAGGGCTGCAGGTGTAGAGGATTGAACTGTCAGTGCAGAGGCCATGACTGGAGAGTGAGCACTACACTCTGGTGCCGTGACCTGCCATCTTTAGGCTTGTGTCACACCACGGGAAGGTAGCACACCCTGTGGGAACTCTTGAGAAGAAATACCAAGATCCCAAGTCCAGGTTGAGGTGTAAATCATTTGTATTGTGTTTCGGAGCCCCTGAGTTTCTGTCCTTTCCACTACAGAAAACAAATTCAAATGAAAGAGTCTGAGACAGAGGATTGCTGAATTTAAGGCCAGCCTGGACTACACTGTGAATTTTGGTCTAGAAAGGGATGTAGAGCAAGATCAATTAAAAAAAAATCAACCAATCAGGATGGAGAGATGGCTCAGCAGTTAAGAGCACTGGCTGCTCTTCCAGAGGTCCTGAGTTTAATTCCCAGCAACCACATGGTGGCTCACAGCCATCTGTAATGGGATCCAATGCCCTCTTCTGGTGTGTCTGAAGACAGCTACAGTGTACTCATATACATAAAATAAATAAATAAACCTAAAAATCAATCAACCAAACCCCAAACCTAAAAAAGTACCTTTCCCCTAACAAAAAAAAATAATAATAATTCTGTATCATAGAGAGGCTGACTTAGTCAGTCTCTGCTTTTCTGAAGGATGTAGTGAAAGGATATCCCTCACAGGAGCTTCGGAAAGCCAGTTCTTGAGCCATTGGGTGCGAGGGGTGTGGTCGCTCTGAAGTCTTGGTGAAGTGACCTGAGGTTCCTCCTGTGTGTTTCTTCAGGTCAGGCCCTGTTGGGACTCTCTCTGTGTCACACAGACTTCAGGAAGAATCTGACTGTGCAGCAAGACATAATGAAGGTTGAGCTACTGCCTGCCCTGACTGACAACTACATGTACCTGATCATTGATGAGGACACCCAGGAGGCTGCCATTGTGGACCCAGTGCAACCGCAGAAGGTGTGTGAGGCTATTTCTGGCTCCCTGCACCCTGTCATCCTGTATGCAGTGTTCATCCACACGGGCTACAACCACAGTCTTTAGGGCTTTGTGGAAGCAAGGTGGAAATAGTTCATCCAAAGCAAAGTTGTCAACTGGCAGTGGTGGCACACGCCTTTAATCCTCTCACTCAGGAGGCAGAGACAGGTGGATCTCCGTGTTCTGGCCAACCTGGTCAACAGAACAAGTTCTAGGACAGCCAGGGCTACACAGAGAAATCCTGTCTCAAAAAAAAAAAAAAAAAATCCCCAAACCCAAACAAACAAAAGCAGAACCAAACAACAAGAAAAAAAAAGTTGTCTAGCCGCCGGTAAATGGGGTAATAAGAAGGGCACAGGAGACCTCAGGCTGCTTTGGCAAGCCAGACACACGCTGTTAAGTCTCTCTGCCCGCACCTATGTGAGTCCTTAGATCTGGCTCATCTTCCATGCTCTGCCCCGTGCTGTGGGGAATCTCAGTTGGAGCCACTGGGGTGTGGATAGGTTACGGGTGAATTAAGTTCTGCCTGTTGTCTGGAGTGTGGTCGGTCAGTCAGCAGAGGTGGGAAGAGGGCTGAGCACCCGCTCTGCGGGCAGGTGAGCTGGGCTCAGAAGTGTGACCGGCCTTTACTCTGCCTTCCTCATGGCTCTAGGTTATAGAGACTGTGAAAAAGCACCGTGTGAAGCTGACCACAGTGCTCACCACTCACCATCACTGGTAAGTACCTGTGGGGGGGGGCGGGGGCAGGGGGGAGTATCCTGTCATTCACCTGGGAAGTTGCTGTACTTAGATCAGGGCAGACCTTTAAGCAGGAAGGATTCTGAAAAGGCACCAAGGCTCTTGCCTGTAGCGTATCTTTTGGCTATTTTGTGGGTTCTCATTTCTACCACCCTTCACCCCCTTTCTTCCACCTTTCAACTCCCTAACACTAGGAACGAGAGAGAAAAGCAAAGAGGGGCAAGGGGGTGAAGTTATTGTTAGATTACTTCCGGCTGATTAGGGGCATCCAGTTACTTGGGGCAAGTTTGATCTCTTAGCCTACAGGATATATAATTTCTTCTTCCTGTTCTTTTATCTTTATGCAAGACTACTTAACAAACCATGACCAACAGCAACCATCCAACAACCTACCAATGAGCAATACCCCCTCTCGGCCCTAGTGTTTGGACACTCTCTGAAAAGTTCCCAGAATTCCAGACATCACACACTCACAGAAACTGCAGCTGGCAAAATCACACGTCTGCTAGAGCCTGAGGCAAATCCTAGTCACCTGCTGGGGACAGTCTGAAGCAGCCCTGTATCCGACACCTGGGGTTAAAATGAAAACACATTCTTATAAGATTTCTGTGTTTTTCAAAAGAAACCAAAAATTTCACTACACCTGCCTTCTTCCCCTTGGGCCTCTGGGTTCCACTAATGGTGGCAACTTTCAGGTGAGGTACTTGTGACTTGTGAAGAGGAGAGAGGGTATGGCCAGCACCCTCAGACACAAGTGTCTACTGCTGTCTTCATCAAGATAGGCTTTTCTGGCCACAGGAGGACCCCCAGTGGCCATCTTCACATATCTTAGGCTCATAAAAAGTGAAGAGAAGAAAGGTACCAGAGCGGGCAGCGATTGGGTTGTAAAGTGAACAAATAAATGAATAAATGGAGAAAAAAACCATGATATTAGTATCCATCCATGTCAGAGAAAAAAGGAGTAGGTAGGCATCAGTATTTTCTTAACAAGTAAAACCCAAACCCATCAAAATGGTGAGACAGAGGCAAGCGGAGCCCTGTGGGTTTAATGAGTATGGTCATATCAATTGTAATCTTGTCTATATAGTGAGTTCCAGGCTGTGAGAGGTGTGGTGATTGGCTTCTGCTGTTTGGTTGGTTTTGGTGTTTTGAGATGGGATTCCACTCTGAGACAGGCTGGCCTTGAACTTGCAGCTTTGGGATACTGTTGCCCAAAGCCTTATTCCTGGCTTTTATTCTTCTTTTCTTATTTTTTTGTGTTGTTGTTGTTTTGAACCAGGGTCCCTGGCTGGCCTAGCACTTGCTGTGTAGATCTTTTGAGGGTCTTCAAAGGCAGAAGAAGCATTTGCTTGGCTCTTTCTTTTCTAAAAGACTCCATGAAGAAAGCCAGAGCCTTTCTCTTTGACCCTGTCGTGGGAGCTCCCACTGGTTTAGTGATGTAAGCGAAGCTTGGCCTGTGCTCCTGTCACTCTGTCTGTGTGGCTGGTTGAGCAGGGTCTCATGGCCTGTCCCCTGAGGCTCCTCAGGGACGGGAAGGTAGCCTTAGTCTTAGCCTGTGC